AAACAAAACTATCTAATATCTTATGAAGACAGAGATAGATAGAGAGAGAGAGAGAGAAAGAAAGAAAGAAAGAGAACCTCAAGTGCTGTGACAACCTTGCTGCATGCTACTACTTGACTGACATTTCAACAAGCACGCTCAAAGGGTTGCAGATACACACACACTCACACACACACCCGTCAGATACAAGATACAAGTGCTCAAGTATCTGATGGTCAGGCACACACTTAAGTTGAGCTCAATTTGTATGCAGGCCGAGGGCTCAGCGCGCAGTTAGTAAATTTATGTTTATGAAAACGGATATGGAAATCGTTTATCGATCAAAGCCGCTTGAAAAAAAAAATAAATAAAATAAAACCTGTTTGCAAGTCGCGTGCCGATTAAAACTTGTACTCTCTGAATCTAGTTAAAGATATAGATAAACACACACAAACAAAACATAATGAAATTAGTTTCAGTTTTACCAAAGTCAAGATTTCTAATCAAAACTATTTTAAAATTAAGTTAAGTTAAAATTTTAGGCGCTCAAACTCGGAATAGGCTGTATTTACATACATATGTATTTGTATTTATTTATAAGATTTTCGCTTATATATTTCTATTCCTGGCTGGCAGGTTAATTTGCTGAGCTAAGTTTCTGTGCTGCTTTGTTGACCCATTTCATCAGTTCGCCTAACTCGTTTTTTGCTGGACGACAACAAGTTCCAGCCAAGTTCTCGAGAGTATCTCTCTATTTGTAGCTGTCGCCGTTGTATTTGCCATTCGTTAAATTATTTTGTGTCCATACAAAATGCGAAATCAATTCAATAAGCATAGCAACAACAGTAAAAACAACAACATAGACAATCGAATCAATACGAATTTCATTAAAAATGGAGCGCAAGCAACGTGATATAATGTGAAATACAATCCAGCTGCGCTTATATAAAATAATCTGATGCATATAGATGTAATTTATTCGCTTTGTATAAGATCATTTGTTATGAAAGTTAGTAAAGCTTATTGGGTTTCAATCTGTAAATACACTAGAGTTTGTACCGGGTGACGGACTGAAAATCAAAAATCAAATATTTCCATTCCAATAGCATATATAAATGTGCTTAGCAAAACGTGACGTCATTCGCGCGAGTGGCTTTGAAGCCTAAGCATGAACCGAGAAGTGGGAGGTCGCCAGTTTAAATCCAGTAGCAATTTAAGTGTCTTCACATAGGAAAAGCAATAATAATAAAATTAGACAAAAAAAAAAAAACGCTTGCGTTTCCGCCTCCAAAGACAGTCAGTCAAATGAAAGGATGTTTTTTTAATTAAGCATTTGGCCTGTTAGTCTTTGGCAATACAAATCATTTGAATGGACTGCAAAACTTAATGATGCCTAGCCGATTTTACAGCTCGAAGACAAGAACTCATCTCTGGAACCGCATCCGTTGGCCACACATACTAAAATGGGTTAAAGTACCGCTATCAAAGCAACAGCGAAGAATCCAACTAGCCACGTTTGGAGCTGTCAACTGGCTGCCCAACTATGTCAGCTTTGGCCATATGTGGCGGCATATTTTGCGTGCCAGCCCAACTACAACTGCAGCTAAATAGGCAATCATGTTGCCTGCAGCAGCAGCTTTAAAGTTGGTCTTTGTAATCAAAAAGTCGACAACTTGCCTGCAGAAAAAAAGTTTCTATGCCTCGTCTTTATCTTTATTGTGACCCAATTTGCTTTTTGCATTCTGCGTAAAAGTTTGCACTCGTCGCCGCCCATCAAAACTTTATTGCTTTTATATGCTGTCAGGTGATGTTAATTTACGGTTACTTAATTAAGTTTTATAGGTTTGCTACGAGTAAAAAGATATAAGAATAAGTTGAAAAGGGCAACTGTCTTTTGTGCGCACTTTTTATCGTTTTAAAGGGAATCAAAATTAATTCAGGAATCTTTTAAGTTAAACCTTTTTTGTTGCTTATATCTTTAGCTGTAAACGTTTTAAGGCAAAAGTGGGCGGTTCCACGCCCACGAGCCAAAAAACTCATATATTTCAAACCCAACGAGCAATATCTATTGTACAATCTTTTGAATAATGAGGAAGACACTCGTTTTGTCGACCATTAATAAATTAATAAATAAATAAATAAAAAAAATATAAAATTAAATAATGCTTTGAAGGCACTTAACTCAGGATCTTTTTGAGCCATGCATATGGAAGTTTACTGTAATGCTGTTAATAGCTTAAGCTATAAATACCATAAAAGAAAAGTAGGAGGGACTTAAAGAACTCACACATAAATGTGACCCAGTGAGCAATATAAAATTAAATAATAGTTTGAATGCAGTTAACTTAGGATCTTTATGAGTTATAAAAAAAAAAAGTTAACATTAATGCTGTATTTAGCTTAAGCTATAAATGCCATACAATAAACGTGGGCGGTTCCACGCCCACGACCCACGGAACTCACACGTATTTGTGACCCAGTGACCCAACAATATAAAATTAAATAATACTTTGGAGGCACTTAACTCAGGATCTTTTTGAGTTATGAAAATAAAAGTTTATATAAATGTTGTTAATAGCTTAAGCCATAAATGCGATACAAGAAAATTGGGCGGTTCCATGCCCACGACCCAGGGAACTCACATATATTTGTGAACCAGCGAATGATACAAAAGCCGACACAATAAATAAGTTCAAGAGTGGGCGAACTTATCGACATGCTTTGGTTGGACATGTTTGTGGTTTCCTCTCTTCTTTTCCGCTTGCTTCTACAATTTTGACAGTAAATAATTAAAAACGCATAAAAACCCATGCGCCCAAACAATGACCCAATAAAATTGTCTGTCACAAACAATTTTCAACATTCAAACAGGCATGAACGACACGCAACAGCTCCAATGAAAATTGATTGCGAGAGCGAGAGAAAATGGAGTGAAAATTAGTAAAAGCACCTGTGAAAATAAATAAGCTTATCGCAGGCGACCCAGAAAAATGGAAAAAACGTCGGTACACAAAGTCAAAATAAAAAATGTTGAGCGCTTAAAAGCAAAATATTGTAAAGCCGGAACGACAGGGAGAACCCGATAGATAGAAAGAGAAAGAGGGAGCTGCTATCAAATGGACAGCCCACGTGAGAGGCGCCCACGCGAAACCGGAAAGCTGAGCGCTTAAAGCGAAAACCAAAAACTTAAAGCTGGAGTTGAGGTTATGGCAGCGTCATTGTCTAAGGCCAACCTACATGAAGGCGGCTAGAAGATGCTTGGCGCCAATTATATTGTGGGCCGCATACAGAAAATTAATATGATTGTCAAAGTGGAAGCTGCCCTGCAAAAAGATACCCTGTAGCCAGCAGCGAGGTGCCCTTAAAAAGGAAATAGATCTAGAAATCAAACTATGCTCAAAATACGGGGGATTCAAATCGATATCTATCGATTTAATGGAAATGGAAAGAGTTATAGAATAAATTGAATCGTATATAAGAAACTTTATTTATTTACCCTTTATATACAATAAATCCCCTTTGCCAGGTTTTCCTGAGTACAGGGTATATTTTACGAAAAATTATGATAAAGATGGAGCCTCAGCAAACGTCTCGTCATATATTTATGGGTAGCTCGTAAATTTGACTGCGGACGTGGCCCGCTGTCAATTTGCAGATACAGGATGCCCGGGCCTTACGAATGGGGCGTGAAATGTGTGAATTTACGATGCGACATGATGAGCCAAACAGCCGAGAGCAGTCAGGTCGATCACGAGAACTCTCTCTCGCTCTCTCTATGAATATATATATATATATATATATATTTATAAATATGTCATCGATAACACTTGAACCAATGTTGACAACGTTCAATGACCCAGCACTCATTCGCTCGATTCACTCATTTATTCACTCCGTGAGTTTCTCATCAAACTTAGCTGCTGCTCAGATAACCACTCAACGACTCGCACTCTCGAGTCGACTTGTATGTCATATGCCTGCAATAAAAAAATATATAAAAATAAAAGTCTAGAAAATGCTTGACTGGTTCACTTACTGAGCCGCATAAGTCACGTTTTGGCACATACATAACTCACAAATGATTAGCATTTGCTCATAAAGTTTTATAGACAATGCGAGAATTGTGTAGTCTAGTGCTCTTCAGTGTACTCTCTGTGCTAATTGTATGATGATTGATGAGAGATTAAAAAAAAAACAATGAAAGATTATGGGGGACAAGCTGTAATTTGTTGCTGCTGGTCCAGTCTTTGAAATGTATTAGCATGAGGAGGGCAGACAAAAGTAATATACATATAAGCTAGAATGCAGAAAGTGTTATGAAATTCCTAAAAGCGTGTTCCTTTATTCAGAAGTTATGGTGTTTTTTAAGATAAACGTCTCTGCCTTGTTTATAGAGCTATAAACAACTTCTTTTGTTTAGTTCAAAAAGATTCTGAGCTACTTTTATAATTGACTTTGTTGCCAAAGAAACTGATATTGACTAGCGAATATTCCGGATATCAATATGTCTTTAATGTGCGAATATAGTTTTTCGTTTTTACAGATGGAACCACCAACTGGGATTTCTTTAGAAATAAGTTTAGCTACCCATAAATATATGTGATAAATTTAATTAATGTGACTTAAAGAGGTCCTGAGATATTAGCTTTACAACCAATCAAATTGAATTCAAAATGTTCATGACTTCAAGATCTGTTCTTAACTTACACAGGAACCCCGTAATCTGTTTATGTTATAAATAAACAGAGCTTAGCTGAAAATTTACATGATGTACATGATAAGTTTCATTAACTTGTTTAAAATAGATCCAGAGATAAAGGCCATTAAATAAATGCGTGACGTCAGTTTTGCAAAAATTTCACAACATACTCAAATCTTTTAATGTCCGACTTAAATGTTCTTAAGTTATAAAGCTACACATAATAGCTGTGACATTATTTTTATGAACTCCCAACTGTGTTTGAGGCTTAAGTTAATTTATGACTTACTTTTATTTATGTTTTTTTTTTTTGTACTTGCAGCAAAATGAGGCAACAGTCAGCTGAACGATGAGGAAATCGAGTCCACATGCGCGTTATAAATATTAATGAAGAAACCAAAACGAAACACAACGAGAATTCAATTGAGCGAAGCAGCAGCAAATATTATGCCAAACACAAGAATCGACAACAACAATAAAAGGCACTTAAAAATATATTTTTTGGATGAACCGAGTCAAATGTAAAGCAGATGTGTGTGCGTTCGTGTCTGTGGCATAAAGTTGTGGCTTCCACTTTAATTCGACTTGTTGTTGTTTGATTTTCTGTTCTGTTTCTGGAAGCGAACGAATCAAATTGAATTGTGCCACAATCCACATCTTTATACGAAAACCGAACCGAAGCGAATCAAATCGAACTGAACCTGAACCGAAAGATATAATACAAGACCAGTAGCATTCCAAGTCGTAGCATTTAACTAAGAAGAAATATAATAAAAGACAAGATTCGTGCAATCTATGCATGATATATACAAATCCATTCAGCTTGGAGTAAGAGAACCAGGAGCCAGGACAGCGGCAGCTGTTGGTGACATATCCGTGTTGCGGTAACCAAAATTCTCGTGTACAAAATGTCACTGGCCGACATGGGCACAGTAACACGCTCTGCGGGCGGCGGCGCTGGTGGCGGTGGTTCGCGTCACTATGATCTGAGCGGAGCGGGCGGCGGCGGCGGTGGTAACGGCAGCGGACCTGGTGTTGTTGCCGGCGGTCGCATGACCCACTCGCTGAGCACGCCCAGCGGCGTCGATGGCACGCCCTCAACGCCCAGGCATCGCGGCGGCAAGAAGCTGACGGTGCGCATACAAATGCTGGATGATTCGGTTACCATGTTTCAAGTTCAGGTGAGTGTGCATAAAGAGCTATTACAATACCAGCATATATCGATTGCCGATTAGCACCTGCTGGCGAGTCGAAAAAATCGGTCTATCTGATGCAGAATTGAATGTGAATATATATGGGAACATGGGAACAAATCGCTCATAATTTAGTTGACAATCTTTGTTGTCGACCCGCTTGGCTTTGGTTTCTGTGCTTCGGACTAGCAAGCGCAAGTTCACCGGTTCAAATCCAGCTCCAATTATAAGTCTTAAATATTGTTTGATTTAAAGAAATCTTAATTCAGCTCTGCAGCGGATACTTAAGCTTAAACATATTCGTATTTGACTCTTTCATTATATAACTTCCATAGGTATAATCAGTGGAATAATACGCCCTAGGAATATTCTGGCAAACGTTGTGATTTCTCATACATAATATATAATTAAAAATATTAAACCTCAGCAACTCTCAGATAACTTCTGAGATCTTCTTTCATCTTCTCTAGGATACATTTTTTCTTCCCAAAACAAAATCTTTTTAGAATTACGTAATTTTCGTTAACTATGTTCTAATTCATTTAATGTTCATTGATTTATTGCCGTCTGCTCGCACGATCTCGCTTACATACAAATTTTCAATTTTTGTTCGACCCTATGACAAATAACACTTACGCAGACCCCAATAGAGTTTCGGTTACTTGCGTCATGCTTCAGCGTCGGCTTCGGCTGGAGGCAATGGCAATGTGCAATGTGCGCCACAACTTTTCAATAATTCTATTAAAAAAGTTTCTGTATTTCTGCACTATCAGCAAAGTTGTTGACTTTTCCTTCACAGTTAAAACAAGATAAGCTCCCTAGAAGGTTTTCTGTAATACAAAAAAAGAAATAATATCAATTGAGCAACAAAGCTTTTTGCTAAATAAATAAATTGGAGTCAAAATAAAAGGCGAGAAACAATTTCTGTGTCATGGCAAATTAAATGCCTAAAAGGCTGGAAAAATGAAAGCTAAAAAGCTGTATACCTCAATAAAATAATGAATTTCCGTTTGAAGGGTGACGTTGAAGAGTTGCCTAATCCAAAGTTTCTGTATATTTATTTATGATAGTGAAATTTTCAATGCCATGGAATAGGGAAAGCAGCAAAGAAATTTGCCTCAATTTTATTCATGTTATATAACTGCTCCCAAGTTCTCTAAGGCATCTTGAAACTTGTGCAAATATTTACAGATACGCATCACATAGTTTCTCATAGTTTTGAATATGTGGCTAAAGCTGAATAAAAACTGTGTGTGAAAAGCCCCGCAGTTATTTTTCGGTCTAGCAACAGACTAAACTACAGACCAAATGTGCGGTTATCGTTTTGCTGACCTCTCAGAATAAAATATCACATTCATTATACCCAACCACAGGACATTTCGAAGGCGCATAATGCCCTGTAAACTAGTGTAAACTAGTGTTCAAGTTCAGAATTGACAACGATAAAAACAGTTTAAAATGTTTGATGTATGCACCTATTTTCTGTAAAATGAATAACATCAGGTTGCAGACAAGGTAAAGTAATTAGTTTTCTGAATAGTTTTTAGTAAGTTTATTAAGATTACTTATGTACAGGGCATCTTCTGGTCAAATACTTCAGCTAAACCAGCTCTATTCACACATAATGCACTTGACCAAACTGACGCTTAGTTAACATAACATAAATTGCCAAGACCACAAACTGATATTACAAAACACGAGCTGCGGTTGGTTTTGGTTGGCAAATATGTTCAGAATAAACCTTGTGGGTTGCTTTGCTGGTCATCTATTTATAAGGTTGCAGCCCTTGGCAATATATTGCACAAGCGGCGTTACGTATACGCAGCGTGCGCGCGCCTTAAGATATATGTATATGTTGTGTTGCTGGCAAACAAATTTGTTACGTGCTTCAATTTTTAATAAGCCCGCACTGGACGTCATCTAAGCTGAGGTAAGGGTGCACTTACCGAGGGGTTGGAGGCTTCGGGCCACGTAAAATAAAACTGCCAGCAGATGCCATAGATTGTTTTTGTGTGTAGCACTTTAAAAAGCGCTCAACATTTCCAGCAGCAACAGCAACGCCTCAAGTGCAACTGGTTCACAAGGGTTTACTCTTAAACCAAACCAAACAACCCACTCACGTACACAAAAACACACACGCATGCCCGCACAACAATGCCGGCAGCAGCCACAACACAACAGCTTAAGTGTGTAGCCAAACTATCGTGGGGTTTGCTGTGACTAAGAGATAGCCTCTAAAAATAATGTGTATGTACTTAAATTTTATACGTAGTTGTCACAGAAGTTCACAGCGAACGACATATTACTCAACATATTTAAAGCCAGAAAGTACTTATTATATGTTGTTTTCTAGCCATGGTACTGAAATTTCACGATCACATCAGTCGCCTAGCTCTAACAGTTTGGACTGTGCGTTGATCATCAATCAGTCAGTCAAAAATCATTTTGTATTCCAATATTTCCCATATTCCACCATAGTGTTTCATAATTATATAAAGAGCTACTATACGGGTAACTATCTCCTACGGGTCCGGCTAATCGTTGATCATCAATCACTCAATCAATCAGAAAAACCAGCTTTATATATAGAGATTTGGCGTAACATCACGTAAGTGTTTCTTTACATCACGTAAGCTAGCTACTGGGAAAATTTGAGCCTCTTAGCTCTTACAGTTCGGGCCGTGGTTTGATAATCAATCAGTAAGGGGACAAACAATGTTATATTCAAATATTTCTAAAATCTATATCAAATATTTGTGCATTTTTTATGTTAATCGGGATAGAATGCCCCAACAAGCTCAAATTTTCAGCTTAAAAAGTAAGCATATAGTTCCAGCTTGCAGGGTATAACAATGGTGTAACTAGCAGCAGCCATTTTGTTGTTGCAACATTTTTGTTTTTAGCACACTTTTCGCCTTGCCATGTTGTAAGTGAGCGAAGCCTTTGAAATGTGTGTCTGCCGTAAGTTGGCTGAGGGGGGCTTAGGGCAGCCAGGGCGTGGCCACTTCAACTAAAAACCGAGTAAGCCTTTTGCTCGGCTGGGCTAATGGAGCCAGGAAGTGAAACAACAAACACAACAACGACTAGAAAAGCCATTAACAGAACTCAAAATGACGGAAAATAAGGGGGTGAAAACGCAAAAAGGAAAAGCACTAGCAGCAAAATAAGTACAAGGCGCAGGACAAAAGCTGTGTTTGCATTAATGCGATTTGTGGTCAAATGCAGTCAAATAACAGCAGCAAGAAGAAGAAGGCTACGCGAAATAACAACGAGAATTGGCCATGTGGTGTGTGTGTGTGTGTTTGTTTGTTGGCTGCAGTTCGTAGACCTCTAATGAACCACAGTCTGGGCCAGAAAAATTCAACAAGAGTGCTCTGGTAGAAATTATACGACTAATGAAGACCCTGTCATCAACAAAACATCAATAATCAGTGGCGAATTATAGTAAATATATTCTTAAATAACTTCTGTCTTTATTTTCCGATTATTATATAGGGTTCAGAGCGTCATCTATGTAAGGGGATATTTAAGAGGGTGTACTTATCAAATTTTCTAACTCCATCTCTTATAATCTTCGAAATATGTTTAGCAAATCTATCCGTTAAATCGATATTAATCGATTCTTAAGGGTTGAGTTATCGACATAAAAATAAAGATCTAAATATGTATTCCTAGTTCTTATACTCTCTTTATATTAATAGAAATGACTAGATTGTTTCAGCTGATGTTGCTGATCAAGAAAATATACCATATAAATATATATAAATAGTGTGCACAAAAACATGATAACCTTTTATACACATTTTCAATTGAAAGCAGGGTATAAAATACCTAAAGAAGAAACAAACTTTATTTTTGGAGTCAGCAGCATCCGCAACACCTCACAAACCAGGTCTGCCAGGGGATGCTGCTGCTGTTGATGGTGGGCGGGTGCTGGGGAGTCGGCAACGGAAAATTTGTTGATTTGTCTGCAGCTTCTGTGTTGCCTCAGCCATTGGCTGGCTGCCTGTTTCTGTGCTCTTGTTAGGCCCAAACACAATTTGGCTGTCTGCCAAAAGCTGTGAATGCCCTGCCACGCCCTGCGCCAGCCGCAACCCCAACTCTCCTCGCTCACCACGACCTCTCCACTTCACTTGTCGCATTAATCTCTTATGCGTGCGCACAGCCTGCGCCTCTGCCTGGATTTTAGTTTCTGCTCCCTTTTATATAATTATACATTTCTATACATATTTCGCATTCCCCAGCCTAGGCTTTATGGAGAGAGAGAGGGACTGCTCTTATGCATATTTTAATGCAATTTCATTTTATGCTTGGCTTCCATTTGGCAGCAGCTTCTGGCGAAAGATTGATGCGATTTCAGGTCACATTTCGTTGGCAGGTGCTTTAGGACAACTTCTCAACTACAAAATAGGATTTATTTTTAGGTACTTGATGTGCTGGAAAAGGCTTTGCAGCGCACTTGCTGCACTTGATAGCAAAGTAGCTGTAGAAATGGATTTTTAGTGCATTTCTGTGTATGCATGGAACTCAGCAAATAGATTTAAGCATTCACCTATAAAATGTTTAAGTGGCTGCCGAAAAGCATTTCAAACTGAAAAATGAGAGGGTAAAGGTATATGCATGCCAGGCTAGTAAACGATTTCAGTAGCATTTTAACCTAAAGGGTATTAAGGTAGGGAATTACTAGAGTAAACATTTTATCGTTCTCCCAATCCTAAACATATATAAATTATATCTTTACATACTATTTTAAGAAATTTGTTGGTTCAAAAACTCACAGAGAAACCCAAAGACCAATAGCATTGAAAGTTATCGATAATTTTATCGATCGCTTTTTACTCTACTGTACCATAGCTAAAATCTTTTTAGTTGTTGACATTTCGTTTAGGGAATCTCAAAAACTCATAAACTCCCCTTTCTATTTCAGCAAGCATTGATCTAAATTTAAAAATTTGTACGATAAATTAATTGATTATTTTTTTGCTGTTCCATATCCTTTCCGTTCGGTGGGCTGCGAGCACCATTTGTTTTGTACGCTATTCAGCTGTTGACAAATCTTTAAGCCCCAACGGACCTTGTGATTTCCGCAGGCAACTTTAACAAACTTTTCTATTAGGTTTATCAGAGCGGTGCCCGCATAACACAAAATTTATTGCGCCAGGCAGCTGTTTCAATAGACAACACAACCAACCGAGTTGTGTGTGTTCTGGCTGATAAATGAACAAAAGGCAGAAAACATTGCAGTTAGGTTCAGTTGAAAGCAGCAAACCCTTGAGGGAAAACACCTGCAGGCTGCATTGGTGTCGATTCAGCTATTTTCCAGCTAGATTTGGCTATTGTCTGAGGTGACAGCCGCCACTTGCATTTATTTCGGAGCCAGCGACAAATTGCCTAGAAGCATGTGTATGTGTGTGGGTGTGCGAGAGTATAAGTGTGTGTGCTTGTGTGTGTCCGTTAGTTGTTTGCATCTCTAGCGCTACCTTGTGCTTTTTAGACACTTCCGTTTGCTATTTACCATTGCCTTGGCCCGTGCTTAGTCGCCGCCGCGTCCAAAACTAATTGGCTGTTTGTAGTTGTTGAAAATCCCAAATTGGTTTAGTGGATTGGTGGCCCATGAAGAAGGCTGTGATAAAAAACCGCGCCCGCGCCAGCGCCAGCTCCAGGCCAAATGTCAAAGTTCGGGCGTGGCTTTGGGGCCATTGTTGCTCCGGCTGCTGCTGCTGTCTGCCACGCCCTTCGGTTACAACTGCGACTGCAGTTTCTGGAGCAGCTGCTTTCATAAGCAAACCCCCATTTTGCACGAAAGTGGTTTTCTCGTTTCTCGCTCCTGTTGTTAGCCCAAATTAAATTAAATATTCCTCAGTTATTGTGCAAAACTTGTGTAAATTTCATTTTAGTTTGACAATTAGTTGGAACCACGGCCCAGTGGTGGGCGGTGCCATAAATTGCATTTGCTCAAATGCCATAAATAGTTTTCAGTCGGCAGTCTGAAGGGAATTGTTAAATTGTGATAACAAGCGACAATTAAATTGCGCTTTTGTAACCGCAAGCACAGCTGCCAGATTGGGATGGAAATTATTAAGAAACTTAGAGGGAACTAGTTTAAGGCTGCAAGCTTAAATTTTCTGGCAATTTATCGAGTTCTTATTAGTGATGCTCTTTTATGTAAACTAGTTCATTTTTCCGATCAGTAATCAAACATAAGATGGGCTATGAAAAACTTAGTTTCTGCATGTTAAAGAGATTTTATCAAATTGTGCAAGTTGGAACTAGATGATTGAAAAAATGCAAAGCCTATATTCTAGGTTGAGATTACTTTTCTAAATGGATTGTAGTTTGGAATTTGTTAGCGTTCTACTACTCAAATATTCGCAACTAACTCGGCATATTTTTAGGTAGTTGTGTTCTTTATGATCGTTATCTAATAAATCCTGGAACTAGTACACAGAACCAGCTCTTAGTTTAAGTTTATAGCCCTCCCTTAGTATCTTTTCGGTTCTATGTAATCAGTATTCAATGTTTGCTTTGACATCTCTGTTTTCTCAACCATCTCTTAGTTTCTGTTTATAGCTTAACCCAACTTACACTCTTGTCTTATGCGTTCTTTATTGAAGGCTTTTGTTGTTTTGGAACCAGTTCATTTCTCTTCACAGCTACACATCAATCGATTTGTAATGTTTAAAAATGTTTTACATAATAAATCAAAATCAGTGGCTGCAAATTGGATGCTTCTCACTTCCCCACCGAATTCCCCATTGACCTTAAAAACTCGGCACAAATGTTGCGCAACTTTTCTCTACTTGTTTCGCCGTTCTCTTCACTCATCAAAAATGCATCAGCTATTCCTTTGTGTGTCGGTACATTGTTTGTTATTTCATTGTTTCAGTTAAACTCGTTGTTTGCTTTCGGCTCACATTTCAATTAAAAAGGGGTTGGCGCTTCATTTGTAAAGTATGCGGACTTATGATATATGTACATATGTGTTAAACTGCAAATTTTTTTTTATTTATATAATGAAACATTTGTGTATTCTTATCAAGTCTTGACCACGCCCAAAGCAATTTGCATTGTGTTCTTGTTTTGGTAGCTTGCCAAAACCTAACACATAAAATATTCAAATGTCAGCCAAAAACATGCTCAGAGACAAAGTGGAAGATAGGGTTAGAGGCTAGGAAACTGTGTGGTAGTTAAGACTTTAATCACATTTTGTCACGCCCCATGGACTGACAAAATTTCACACTTCGAACAAAAATCGAAACTGAGAGCAAAGGCACTTTGCTTGATTGCCTGTCGAAGAATTTGCGGGAACACGCTAAAAGGTTGCTTCGTTTACTCTATTAAAATGCCGATAACATTTCCATTTGTCTAATGGTGCATAAGGTGCAGCAGCTGTTCAGGAGCTGGTGTGGTGTGGTGGCATACGGGGGGCTTTGTGGTTGTTGCCATAGACCGATATTAGCATATTATACAGCATGGCACATGCCTCTAATCTAGACATGTGTTTGCCGCTTAACCTATTTGCAAATTGAAGGACATCCCAAGGATATAGCTGTGTGTGCGAGTTAGTAGATAATTAATAAGCTCTGACTGATGAAAACCTCATTTCATCCAATTTGCGGTACGTTTCTAAATGAATTGGAAACTGACAGCTAATTAAATTAATATCCTTTATGTGATTAAAAGTCAAGTGGGACTCTATATAAGTCAGACTACTTAAGAATTATGATAAATAATTAAAAGTTGTTTTATGAGAAGCATAAAAACTTTTGGTGTGATGAGCTGGTGAACTATTTATGAAGCGTGGCTTGACCCAGATTGTTTATTCTTCTCGAAAAGAGATGCTTTTGATTATATTTCAAACTTCGCGTAATATTCCAATCTGGACAGACTACTATTCCATGGAATATTACATTCCAACATTAATAAACTCTATAGTATGAGTCACTCAGTAGATTGTCCTCTCCAGATTTAATTTAATATTCTATTTTGACGTTGCCAGACTGCGTAATATATATCACCTATATACATATATCCAATGAGGTTAGCTCTCCTAAATTCTCATTTGACTCTGCTTGGATTTCAATATTTTAAAACATAAACGCTTTCCAATCAATTTTACGCACAATTTACTGCAGCCTCCTTGCGACGGGTGTTTTGCGTGTGGGCATAGGGGCGTGACCAATCGCTGGCTAAGTTCGTTAAGCTTATTTAAAAATTTAAACCGCGTCGCAGCTTAGATGCGCGTCCGAGCGTTGCCACACGCCGTCAATTGCTTTGTGGGCGATGCCCGTCTGATTGCATTTAAATAAATTTCAATTGAGTTGTCGCCTCGCCCTAACTACTGCTTCCTATTAACTGGGCCACTTGGCCGCACGGCGGCTGGCCATTCCTAAACATCAACTGTGGCCGCAATTAAGTTAGATAAAATGTAGGGCGTTTAGCTTTTTGCCCGCTGACCAAATTGAGCGAACAGCCAGAGTGCACTGTAAATTCTAAGTAAATGCATATATACATTTATTATTTAACGCAATCTAATGGCATTTTTAATCAACCCTAATGGTGTCTGTATGTGTGTTTGTGTGTGTGTGTGTGTGTGTGTGTGTGTGTGTGTGTGTGTGTGTGTGTGTGTGTGTGTGTGTGTGTGTGTGTGTGTGTGTGTGTGTGTGTGTGTGTGTGTGTCACACACAACACACACTCGCAAGCCAACATTGTGGCTGTTGATTTATGTGGCGCTAAGCCTTCTCGCATAGTTGCCAAGTTTTCAACTATTTTATAAATAGGCTGTCGAGTCTCTAAAGTTAGGACTTTTTGAATAATGTGCTTCCTCGACTACAATTCACATAACTAAACGAGTTGGAGTGCTCCAGTCGGATGTGCCCAACTAAGAGATAAGGCTAAACATACACTGCCCTTAAATACCTTAAACCCCAATTTCAATTCATTGAATCACGTTTCAAATGGACATTAGCGATATCTGTTAAAAAAAAACTCTTGCAAAGCTTTGATGTAATGAACGGGGGAAGAAATTCGAAAAGCGAAATATTTTTTGAAACTTAATTTCTCCACCAATTTGCTTTGTCATTTTAAACAGGCCAAGGCCTTGGGTCGCGTGCTATTTGAGCAGGTCTGTCGCCAGCTAAATTTACTGGAAGCGGACTATTTTGGTCTGGAGTATCAGGAAATATCCACACATACCAAATACTGGCTCGATCTGGAGAAGCCCATGAATCGTCAGGTGGGCCTCTCTCTTATCGATCCGGTGCTGCGATTCTGTATCAAGTTCTACACACCAGATCCAGCACAGTTGGAAGAGGAGTACACCAGGTAAGAGCCTTTTAATATATTAACTTAACAGTAAATACTGATATACTGTATTCATTTTAGATATCTATTCTGTTTACAAATAAAACGAGATCTGGCCACGGGCAGTCTGCAGTGCAATGACAATACAGCGGCCCTCATGGCCAGCTACATAGTGCAGGCATCGTGTGGCGACTATGTGCCCGAGGATTATCCAGATCATACGTACTTGTCATCCTATCGCTTTGTGCCGCACCAGGATGCGACCATGCAGCGCAAAATTATGGAGAATCACAAGAAGCATTTGTAAGCTGTAAACTGTATAATGTCATTGATTTGTTAATTCACTTTATAATCTCTTTGTGCAGTGGCCAATCGCCTGCAGAGGCTGACCTCAATCTGCTGGAGACAGCGCGTCGTTGTGAGCTTTATGGCATGAAAATGCATCCCGCGAAGGATGTAGAAGGCGTGCCTCTGAATCTGGCCGTGGCGCATATGGGCATTACCGTGTTTCAGAACATAACACGCATTAATACCTTCTCCTGGGCCAAGATACGGAAGATATCATTCAAACGCAAACGTTTTCTGGTCAAGCTGCATCCCGAGGGCTACGTAAGTACATATGTGAGAGGTGTATAATTAAATCGATTTAATGTTGGATTTCTGTCGCTTGCAGGGCTACTATAAAGATACCGTTGAGTTCTTCTTCGAGGGTCGCAATGAGTGCAAGAATTTTTGGAAGAAGTGCGTCGAAAATCATGGATTCTTCCGATGCACGACCGTGCAGAGCACGCCCAGGCGCAAAACTCGCGTGCTCTCACGGGGCAGTTCTTTTCGGTATGAATGAGATAATAATTGTGAAAATAAGGCGCTTTTTAAACTAGTTTTATACTTTTGTCAAACTTGCAGCTACAGCGGTAAAACGCAAAAGCAAATTATTGAATTTGTGCGCGAGAACTATGTAAAACGTCAAAACTTCCAAAGGTAGGTTTTATTCAAATAACCCAACAACAATAAGGAAAATCTTAAAAACTACCATTGCAAGCAGCAGAAGCAGCTTTAAACTTAAGATTTGTTTTTTAATATTTATTATTTTATTACGTTTAACAAATAAATATTATAGTTTAAGTTACTTTCTGTAAAGGTTGTTTTTACCACGCAAAAAAATGTTTACAAATATTTAATAAATTTGGTAAAGACAGCATTTCAGCATTTTTTAGAAAACAAATTTATTCTTATACAATATTACTATTTCACTTAAATAATTTATCAAATACGTAAACTTGATTTTAAAGCTTTGCTTACTTTTTCTTTTATTTAAAAAAAAATCAAATTTTTAAGCTAATGCTTCTTCCCCATATGAATAACCAATAAGCCAACTAATTATGTGTACAATTTGATTGTGCCTTTTTTTAATACAAAACAGCAAAACCAAGAAACTAATCATGCTTACACATTATAATCATCAGCGTGCTCATCTGAACTCAACTTTGTTATTTCTTTTCAACTGAATTGCTTATGAATTACACACACATTTTTAATTTTCAAAATTAATTTTTCAAAACCCCCACAAACCCTGCTCCAAAAATAACACCTGAAACCACCTTAAAACTTGGTCAAAATGTGGCATCAAGTTACAGAGAAAAGAGAAGAGGATTAAAAAACCAATTGGTCTTAAGTAAAAGTGAAGCACTAAAATAAACATCTAAAAAAAAACAACAAAAAAAAACAAAGTAATAGCAAAACTAGAAATTTGTACAGAAACCAACGACAAAAGCATTTGAAACTAAAGTATGTTTTGTTTTGTTCGTATTATTTGAAACATGTGTATTAACTAACATAAATATTCTATAGACAACCAACTTTATTTATTTGTAAACTGAAATTGGCAATTGGCAAATTATTTTATGCATACTAATTTCAAATATCATGCTTATGTGTATAAATCGAGCCCAAACTCAACTCATTATCAGTGCCCTAGTGTTCACCCAACCTCACATAGAGTATACTAAACCACATTCGCATCATTCGAACTCTCTTTCTTTTATATCGTGTGTTGTATTTAACTAAACTAGTCTAGTCATTCAGCCCCAACGATATGGAAGTTGTGTCTTTAAAATGCTTTTCTTTTTCCATCCCCCCCAATAAACAGTGTCTTTTGTTTAGACTGAACACAACTCACGGCTAATCACGTTTGTTTGCCCCCCTAACGCTCCCTAAATGTGTAGTAATTAGTTGTGCGTGTTCTTAGCTAAACAACCTAAGCTTATCTACTTATATAAGTAGTTTAGTCTGTATGATAATATAACTCTAATTAACCCAACTACAACAGTATTTAGTGTATAATATTCTATGGAAAATCTGTTAAGATATAACAAATATATTGCCTATTCCCTATAGAGGCTACATCTTATATGATTTTTTTTAGCGCTTCATAATGCCTTTCAAACTTAAAGACATGCTAGGTCTAACCCTCTTTGATACCCTAAATGTTGTTTTGTGTGTGCGTGTAATTTTAAGTTTTTTTTTTTTATTATTACACAGTTAACTTAATATTGTTATTATATAAATTGTGTACTGTTGTAAATTCCTTGAACTCTTGCATTTGCTTATGGAATTTTCTGAGCCTTTTTGATGCTCAAACCAAAACCAACTGTGCTTAACCCGAACTAAAACTATAAATAAAATACAAAAAAAAAAAAAAAATACATAAATAAAAAACAAGCTTGAAAACAAAATAAAATGTTGCTTAAGTAAAAAGCAAAAACTGAGCATGTGAAAATAAAATCGTGGTATCCTCTTGTCTTTTCTTTTGCTGCAGGTCTCAGTCGTTCCGGCAAGGGCCACTGAATGCTAGTAGCCGAAGTCAGTCGCATACGTATGTGAATTCCAGCATTTCAGCCAATCCCCTACTCCCAATTGACACTGGTTTGTATTTATTTTGTTCAATTGTTCGATTATTATATTTCATGATTTATCGTTTATCGCTTTTCGTTTCATTTTCGTACATATGTAGTTAAAAGAGTTTCGCTCTTTCTCTCTCGTTTTGCTAGCGGAATGTGTAGCTCAATGCGTTAGATTTCTATGAAATAATTTATTTATGTATATATATATATTAAATTATCATTTCTTTTTTATTTAATTGCACGCTGCAGCGGCATGGGATTATCGCAATCAATGCAACGACTCGATGACCCCTTCTCTGACGAAGAAGGCAGCGGATACCTTGGATCGCCGACGCGACAATCCTACAGACCACATGCGTTCTCAAGTGAGTTTTCACAGAAAACAAAATTATTTTATGATTTCCAATATCTATTCACAAATAGGTCACAGCAGCCCAGGTGGAGATCTATCAGACGAAGAACTATGCAGCGGAATCGCCAACCTCAGCGGAGGAAGCGGCATGCTCGGGGGAACGTCAACACCACTCGGCAGCGGCTACGGACCAAATGAATTCGAGCCGCTCGCTTTCACCACAGGCTCCGCAATCGTGGACTTCACCCAGCCACAGCAGCAGCCAGCCACTGCGCGCTCCCGATCTGGGTCGTGCGCATCAAGGCGATCACAATTTAGGTAAGTCCCTTTATAAAATGATCCCACATTAATATAATTTCATTAAGTTGTTTGTTAAAGTTATACTTAGTTTTAGTCTTATCTATGATTTATATAATGTACTTTAGCTAAGCTCTTTTATTTAACATTGAAAGTATGCCGAATTTCTTAAACAAAAATACAGTTGGAAAGGATTTCAGTATCCTCCCTAACTCGGTTCAGACTTCCGGATTCTTACCCAATGCGGCTAAAAATCAGTTTGCAGATTTAACATAAGTCCTGCTCCCCTTCGTAAGGGAGCTGAAGCAACTTTTGCTCACATAGAGAGACCCTGACACAATTGACCGTTTTCGTCTTTTGTGATACCCCATTGCATATCTCTTATTTATTATTAAACTACTGTGAATATAAGTTTCTATTATAATTTAGATTTCTTAAGTTTATTATATTTACGTAAGGTTAATTTAGTTCTAGCTCCTTTTTTTAATTCATACTCCTCACAGCGTTGGCTATTGACTATTGTATTCAGTTAATGCCAATAGTCGAATTATGAACTATAAATATCGTTCAAATCGTGCTCATTATAATTTCAGAGTTTTCAGCCTTTGTTTTGTGATCATGCCTTGAGTTCGAAACGTTTTCGGTTTGTTTCGGTTGTTTCTCTTGTACTCAAAGTGCTAACGTACAAATTCTTTTAATTCTGCGCGTGTTCAGGTCTGAGCCACTTGTCCCACTTGTACAGCAGCAGCACGCCTCGTCGAGTCTCAGTGGGATCCCAAGCGTATGCCCCTGCTTCGCCGCAGCTCATCAGCATCAACACCAACAACAGCAACACGCACAACAACAACACTATCAACAGCAGCAACACAGTGGGTCATTCGGTGGATCTCAGCAGCTCAATGGAATTGGAGGAGCAGGAGGAGGAGCTCCTGGGACCTGTGGATTTGGAGGAGGAGGAGGAGGAGCCTATGGGGGAGGAGGAGGAGGAGGAATTAGTCGAGGAGGAAGCGGATTCGGACTTGACAGCATCTACCATCAATCGGGAGACTATGGCGGCAGCCTCACCGGTCTCAGCCATGGCCATGGCCAATGCCCGTCGTCAGCCGCTTCGCTCACAGGAGTCCCAATCTCAAACTGTCACCCCAGTCCATTATAGCAGTACCAATTATTCGATGTCTAAACAGTGCATGCTTAACAATGCCAATGCCAACTCAACCGAAACGGAGACCGACAACATCATATACACTGACATCAACGATATGGGCCAATATAAATACCCTGACTTTCATAACGCCCATCTGGAGCACAAGATTTCCAACAGCGAGCATCTCAATTTGAATGATCGCAATGATATATATGCGACGGTTAATCGGAAAGCCAAATCCAAGACACGCGAGAAGCATTTCAGCGATGAGTTTATCGATCAGTCCATATTACAGTACACCCGGGCCAAGCAGCTGGGCGCCCAGCAGGTGGCCATGCCCCTGCTGCAGCAGCCCAGCACATCGGCCTACGCTGCTGCCCAGGAACGTAATTATAATAGCTTGAACTATCAATATCACAACGATTTAAATCATCCCTCAGAATCGTCTTCCTCGTCCTACTTTGGGACAGGCTTTGGCACAAAGCGCTATGCCCAAAATGAACGCGTAAAGCTCGCACAATCCGAAAACTATTTAACACCCTCTATGGACTCTCAGAGCTCGAGACACACTCATTCATTGCCGCGCAACTCGGAGCTATCCGGCGTGGATTCGGTAGATTCATACGATAGTCACTACATAACACATCATCCAAGACGCAGTTCCTCAGAAAAACTCGAGTATCAGATGTCTTCGAGCAATCTTTATTCCACAGCGCAGTTTGTCAAGCCCGAACAGGCGGCTGTCCACTATATGGACGATGAGGAGGATCAGGATGATGATCCGGATGGTGAGAACATCTACGATCAGGTCGAGCGTGAGTCCTGGCTCAAGAGTAGCTCCTGCAAGGATCTTTTTGAGCGCTACAGCAGCACCTACTATGCACGAGAACAGCCGAAACCCATGACAGCGTTTGACAAGGAATTTCTCTCCTCGAATCGTATTGATTCGCCCGTTACGCGCTATGATGATTCCAGGCACTCCTTATACATTACCAAGAATCACTCGATAGATGCACATCAGGACTTTTCACCGCTACCTCAGAGTAAGGTGTATTCGTCCAGCTATCCAGGCAGCACCTACAACACCCAGGAACACAAACGCAACTATGGGCACCAGCTGGACTACACAGGCTCACAAGATGATATATCACAGGATAGCTATGAGCTGCTAGAGAAATATGACATTGATTTCTTTAGCGGACGTCGCCGTTCCGAGGATCATATGCGCTCCTGTTCGCTGGACTCTGGCAACTATATACCCAGCGATGATGAGTCCGTTTCTGAGCAACCCAAATATCGCTCGGCTATTGATGTTAAATCCAAATCAGCTGCTGATATTATGAATGAGATTTGGGATGCTGAAGATCCGCGCTATTTGCCCCGTGAAAAGCTCTCTGTCAAGTCAGATGGCAACTTCTATAAAAAAATTCAGGAGGCACTTACGCGAGCCTCCAGTCAGGAGAGTCAAAGCGAAATGTTTGAGACAAAAATCTCTCGGAGCTCCGACTCGAGCAAAAAATCTCGAGACAGTCTCTATCATACGGACAGCAAAAAGTCGCGAGAGACGACCAAGAGTAAGACATCCGTAGCTTCAAGTCAGGATTCCAAGGAATCACTAGTGGGCGATTGCTTCGGACGAAACTACGAAATGCCCACAACCACCTGCAAGAAGGTCAAGCAATTTAACAAAAAGGAGCTCTACGAAAAGTTTGCACAGTCAAGTCAGGAGTCAAAAAGTGACTACTACGATGCTGTAGAACCTGTCGCAGAGGCAGAAGGTCTTTATACGCGACCCAAGGTTAAGAGTCACGATTGTCTGCTCTCCGACACGCACAGTTCCACGGCCAATAGTTCGTTCTATGACAGCCGCGATACATATTCGACATTCCCTAGCAACAAGACGCACAAGACCTCCAAAGTGCACTCGATTAGTTTGCAAAATGTAGAAATTGAACGCAATGCCAAGTCCTTTGGAAATAAATCTCCCGAATCTGTGTCCACGCCTGCCTCTGGCATGCGCTGCCATGAGAAGGATATACAAACCAGTGACTCAATCGATCAAACAGCGCCCTTCAAAAAGGGAAACTCGCAGTCCTGTAAAATCTCCGCTTTCCGTCGACGATCAGATAGCGAGAACATTTTTAGCTTTGATCAAGACCGAATAGAATGTATACAAAAGTACACCAAGCACTGGGAGGGACAGCCCAAGGATGAAAAGTCCAAGCAAAGTCCAGAATATCCACTTACACCCGAGCTAATCTCTGAGTTTGAGAAACAGCAGGCGCGAGTTGCCCATCAGAAAATCACGCGGAAGGAGGAGCTCATGGCCAAGACACACTTTGAGGAATACAATCCGATATTGGTGCCTCTGAACTATGCTCATGCCACGGTGGAGCGTACTAAAAGCGATCCGAATTCCTTGGCTAATCGTGCACGCCTAGGCAGCAATTCTCGACGTCATGTCCTGATGCATCAGAAGTCAATTGACTTAACGCCAGCCGATTCCAGTGATGAGGATTATATCTATAAGCAAATACCTAGCGCTCCACCGTTGTGCAAGGCGCATGGCAACTTTGAAATACCCAAATGCTATGATGGACCGCCAGCCCCTCAAGTGGATATACCCAAGAGAGGCTTTGAGCTCCCCAAGAGCTTCTTCCGCGACTACGAACGTCGTTTTACTAAGATTCTAAAAGAAGATATACCCTATGTACTCCATAAAAGGCATATTATGAACGGCACTGCGCCTTCGCCAGGCGACAAAAAGCATAGTAAGCCCAAATCGCCAAAGTCACCAAAATCGCCAAAGTCTCCCAAATCACCAAAGTCGCCCAAGTCCCCTAAAGTGAACGTTGTGCCTGTGCCCGGTCCAGCGGATTTCTTGCCAGATATACTAGATAGTCTGCTGCCAGCAGAAACTAAAGAGTTTCTATTTACCCAAAACATTGATCTATCCAAAGTAGATCCCATAACACTCGAAATCGACAAGACCATACCAATTATACAGCTTTCCTCGCCCAAGCGGGACATAACCAAGCAAATGGATGCTTCAACGCTGGAGAAACTAAATAAGAAGCTTAGTCAAATTGAAAGCGATTCGGCAACCAGTTCCAGAACCGAAAGCATGCAACAGCAGAAGCTAGAGCAGAAGCAAATGGAGCTTATACAGAGTCTGCGGAAGGAACTACAGGCGAATGCGCGCAAGGCAAACAAGCCGAGGGTTATACCCAAGACAAAGCCATCGGGCAAGTCCAAAAAGGGTAAGACACGCATTACCTCCTTCTCATCGGATGATGAGAGCCTGGACTCGGACGATGTCTTTGGTTCGGCGGAGGCCATACCGGATCGCCTGGAGTTCTCGCCGCCGCAGTCACGGAAAGAAATTGAGCCTATTTTGCGTATAGAGCAAAGTCGTCTCATCTCTGCCGCTTGGGGCAGGGGTCAGACAATGAGTTCCACGGAAATCGAGGGGTCACCGCCACAGTGTCGCCGTCTGGCCGATCTCGAGAGTCGCTATCATACACAAAAGCTTGATCCACAGTATGCAAATGCCACGGAACTGCGTCGCATATCAGAGCGTTCCATATCAATACCATCTTCAGAGGATGAGCCTCATTTGCCTATGCGACGCATGGACGAATGCACTAATGATTATCAGCGCAATGAGAACATACCCTCACCCATATTTGAGTATGCGGAATTCTTTCGCAGCAATGATGACATCTACGAGACGTGCCATGAGGAGAAGATAACCGGTTCTGATATTGATTATACTCTGAAGAAACAAACAGCCAAATCGAAAGTCAAGTTAATTGAGGAAATAATTGACTCTTCAATAGTAATGCGCTCCAAGGGTCATGCACCTATATTATTCGCTCATGCCAGACTAAATCTTTCGGAGGGTTCAGTTTCCCTACAACGTCAGCAGGCCACACAGCAGTCGCCGACTACAGAGCGTCGCACTAAGAGCCTGGACACGCCAGTCATATCCTTGCATCGACTGCCGCCTATGAATGCTTTTTCATCCAAGGATGATACCGTGGGCTTTGAGGAAGAGGGCGAAATTTTAGAGGAGAAGTCGTTAGAGCGTACCAATCAAACAGTACAGCAGGAGGATGACACAGCAGATAGCATACATTCCTGCGCAGGTTCTATACCAACACAGAGCAGCTACAACGCCAATAGTAAAGACTCACTGCTCAGTGCTGTAACCATTGACAGTGAGGAGGCGCAGCTGCTCAACCAGCTGAAATACATAGAACGGATTGCCTTACAAGGCGTCAAGATCAAGGACAAACGCAAGTCTAAAATGAAGCTCAAGAGTGGCGATCATTTAATTCTTAATATACCTAAATACCGATTCACCGATTGGTCACCCTACAGCTCAGCCAACAGCTCGCGTAAAACCTCGCCAGGCGTCTCGCGGGCCAGCAGCATCGAGAGCACCGGTAAGGGAAAGCTAAAGACCTCAGAACCTTTTAAGGGCAAGCATATGTCTCGCAGCCGTCCGGAATCACGACGAACCAGCGCGGATGATATTAAAGCCGGTAAAGATGGCAGAGGTAGTAAAAAGTCAAGTCCCAAGGAACGTCCACGTTCAATTGAAATGCGTCGCCTGAGCAAGGACAAAAGCAAGTCCCAAGAGGAAACGGAGGCGGATATAGCCAAGCGTAAAGAGCGCCAGCAGAAACTTTACGAATCAGCGATGAAGCAGACTATAACAATGCTGAGTCCTGTAAAGGATACGCTGCCCGCGTTTCCAGCGCCGGAAGATAAGATATTTGTCAAAACCGATGGTGATAAGATAATCATTGAAACTGAATTTAAGTCGAAGGCTGAGGATCATGTCCTGATTGCCAAGGCGCCACGCAAGCTAGACACTTCGATGGTAAAGTTTAGTCGCAGCTTTGATGAGGGTCGCAGTCCCGACAAGTTGGACAAGGCCAATCGCAGTTTCGAGGATCGTAACAAATCCTTTGAGGACTCTGAGAAATCAGATATACCAGAAGACATAATGATTAAATCACCCAAGAAAATAGCCAAAGCACAGGAAATCAAACAGAAAATCGAAGGGAGTGTTGTGCACAAAAAGATCGATGGCAAATCGAGTAGTCTAGAGAAACCAGCCGAGCATCATTACTTGGGCACGGATGTCAAAGCACGCAGCCTGGACGACAAGAAACAGGCAATGGCAGAGGCAAAGAAGACCGAGGAGAAACATACATCTATTGTGCGTAGCGCCATTGGAGATCGTCGCATGTTTGCGCATCAGTATAATGTCCATGAGGACATAGATATGCAGGCGGTTATCTCTGAGCGTCGTTCACTGGAAATACTTAAGCGTTCGCTGCCCTCGGAGGACACCCGTGACAGTGAATGCACGCACAGCCGCAAGGCTTCTACAGCCGATAGTCTTGACTCGTTTGTCTCGGTGGATGAAAGCCATTCGCCAATACCACCGCCAGAGGTTTATCCACATCGCGTGCCTACCATAGAGTGCGAGGAGCCATCCATTGAAGAGGATGACAACTCATCGGAGCGTCGTCATCTTAAAGTGGGTCGACACGATGTTAATCGTTTGAGCTTAGATCGCAGTCGCAGCGATGAGACAGGTTCGTGGATAACCGTAGAGTGCGATGAGTTTATTGGCTCTGATACCTCAGACAATGAGCCGCGCACTTTGGAAGCAGATCGCAATACTCTGGAGACACAAGCCACATTGGAGGATGCCATACCGTTGGACTATTCCAATTGTGTCACGCCCACATCTGATTTGAATATTCTAGTTACTCCACCCAATGTCAGTCCTCTGATTGAAAAGTCCGTGCTGGAGACTTTTGAAAAGTATACATCTGAAGGCAAGAAAAAGTACAGCCTTGATAAGCAGAGCGATAAATCGAAAAGTTCGGATTCTTGGACCAGTGGTGAGAAGGACAGCAGCCCGCAGCGACAGCAGGACTGGAGTTTGTCTGTAAAGGAGAAGAGCTCCATCGAGGAGGAATCCAGTGTTAGCTGCTCGATAGCACGCCCTTTGGGCATATCACAAGATTTTGGTAATGAGGATGCCAAGAAATGCCTGGAACTTAAGCAGCGCATGCTCCAGCTAGATGTTGCGCCTAAGGATGCTGATGCCACACCCACTGGCTCCAATGAGCAAACGCCCACCAATGAACCAAAGATCATCATTAAGAAGCCTTCAACGCCAACACTAGAGAAACAAAGTCCTATTGATTTAGGCAACAGCACCGAAACCTACCTAGATCCCATTGAAGACCGAATAGCCAAAATGCTACACAGAACCGAGGACAGCGAATCCAGTTCAGGAGGTTCACGCAAGCCGCCCCGAATCGAGAAACCTGCACGTGCCAATGCAGGCAAAAAACTGTCGGTAACCAAAGCAGAACCCGGTAAATCCGGCAGCGATCGCAGCTCACAGGAATCCAAATCAAGCTTCGACTCGAAGGGCTCATTGAGCGTCGAATCGCGCGGCTCTTTTGAAACAGAAAGCAGCTCCGGATCATTGGGCGCGGCACAGCGTCGTGGGGAGCTGGCACAAAAAGAACAGCAAAGCACCTGGAAAGCTTTTCCCATCGAGAGCTCCAACAGCTCCAGCACAGATGAGCCATGGCATCATGTGGAAACCGATGGCGGTTACGAGCGCTACGATGCACAGAATCCGCTGCGCGATTCCTCGGACAGTGACATAAAGGAGGTCTCACCGGATGAGCAAAAGGATACCAGCGATACCAGCTATCAGGATGATCTCAATGACTTTCCCACCACCTTTGGCTATCCGGCAATGACCAGTACACTAGGTGGGATTGGCGTGAACCCCACAGATATCATAGGCTACAGTACGGGCTTTACATTGGGTCGCACTCTCTCGCGGATTTCGGAGCGCAGCACAGCCTCTGAAAAGTCCAGTATGGAAGATGATATAAGCAAGGCTTCCACGCATTCGGTTAGCATGCGGGATGAATCAGTTGGCTCGACCGATCATCAGCCCAGTCTGAGCTCCGATTCACGCAGTAATACGAATCTGGCGTACATCTCGGACGCGGATCGTCGCACCTCTGCGGAAATGCCAGAAATACCCTGCGATTCAGCAACTGCGGATCGCCTAAGCAGCATTGGCAGCTTCAATGAACCAAAGTCACCCACGTTGGTGACAGGTCGCTTCTCAGTTACACACGTGGACGAGCAGCAGCCGGAGGATCTGGAGCGGCACACGCTCATGTGCCTCTCAAATGCGGGTAGTCAGGACTCGGAGGATTGGCCGCTGCCGGAGATACCCTTTGATCACGTACCCGTCAAGCCGCCGGAGAACATTTACGCCATGCCAGACCTGGACAAGCCAGTGCCCAAGTCCTTCTGCTGGAAGGCTAGTATGGCATTCCAGCAATCTCAAGATTCAGTGGACTGGCCCTCACCGCCCTCCAGCACCATCGATGCGCCCATTGTGGTGGAGAGCATTGAAACCTATTACGCGAGCGAGGTGCAAAATGCTGACAATGTGGTATTGGAGGAGGAAGCGATCGCTGCGGGTCCTCCCGATGTGGCCAGGGTGTTGCCTTATGAGGACACGGCCTATCTCATGTCTGCTGCTTTCGAGGACAATGATTTTGGCAGCGAGCATATACAATTAGATACGGTTAGCTGCCTAAGCTCCACACTGAGCGCTGCCTCCTGCTTGTCTTCATCATTTAATGTCAGCTGCAGTACATCCTCCACCCAGCCAACGGCTAGAGCAGCGGCTGGACTACGCAAGAGCTCCAGTCCTGAGGTAATTGTAGCGCAGCCCGGACGCTCCCCAGCGCCTCGCAGCCCTCTCTCCGATGATGAACTCTTCTCCAACGATGATGTCTTTATGCCAGGCACTATTAAAGTGCAACTCTCACCAGATGGACAGCTGCGCAAGCTTTCACGCGGCTCCAACAATTCGGATACATCCATCGATGATATTCTGTCCGGCAGCACTTACCTGGACGATCAAACTACTGTGCGTCGCAATTATGAGGCACGCTTAAGCAGCGGCGGCGGCAGCTGCAAAAAGTGCAGCCATTCCAGTCACTCCGAGGAAGAAACCAGCTCCATTGGCACCGACCTCGATGGCACTGTGCGCATGGGCTTGCAGCAAAAGAAATGCACGCACAGCTCCCACTCGGAGGACACCTCGATTGGTCTCAGCATCTCTGAATGGTCCACGGGCACCAATACAGTGCGCCAGTATGCTAATCTCTCCGGCTCGGACAGTCTCTCGGCGGTGTCCACACATTCGTGCGCTAAGAGCGAAAAATCCAATCACACCAAGTCCAGCATTAGCTCCATTAACAAATCCGCTGAGAGCCTCAACGAGCAGAGTGGCAGCTATTCACACAAGTTCAGTGGGGATAACGGCTCCTCGGATGGATTGCGGTATGACATGTTGTCCAACTCGGAGACGGATAAGCTAAGTGAGGCTACCTCGGCAACGCGCAGCGATGATACGACCTTGACATTGACTGAAATGGCGCACACGATCAGCGAGTGGTCCACATCGAGCAGTCGGACACTGGTGGGCGTGGTGCCGGGCGAATATTTACCACTGAAGCAGCCTAGGGTGGGCAGCAGCAAGCCCAGTTTGAGTTCGCCTAGCGAAGAGAAGCGCTGCTCCCTGCCACAGATCCACAGACGCAGCGGCAGCAATGGCAATCAGGCGCGCAATGCTCAAGAGCACGCAGAGCAACAGGCCGGATCAGCGGGGCCAGAGACGAGCGCCGCTGCACGCAAACGCCGCTCGCTGGAGATGATGTCGAAGCTGTATCAGAGCCAGGAGATATGCTCCGAGTCGGAGTCTCCTTTTGTGGAGCGTTTGTATGCGCACAGCGAAAAGCTGACGGAGCGCTATCAGAGCCAGGAGTTCGTGCCGCTGCACACAGCCACCCCAACCAGCGGCAGCATCAGCAGTGGCTCCACACAAATCCAAACCCAGCAATCGCAACAGATACGCCAAAAGCCACGCGCACCACAGCCGCCCACAAAGCCGAAGCCGACGGTAACTAGGCCCATAATGCAGGCGCTGCTCAACAAGATGAAGCAGCCGGGTCTGGCGGAGCAGGCTGCTGCCGCGGCTGAGGCAGAGGAAATGGCGGCTGCTTCGGCGGTGAAGCCAAAACCCGCACCACCGCCGGTGCCCACGGTGCCTCCGATAGTCACGCCCAGCGATTTGCCTGGTCGTGTGGGCGCACCGCCAGCCAAGCCGCTGGCCAAGCATCACAGCTACGATGACAAGACGCTGTCCAAGACACAGATACGTGAGTTTAAGACAACATCCAAACAGCTGCGTCAGTCGAGCTCCTTTCACGAGCACATGCTGAGCAAATCGCAGCAATCCTCACAGGAGCAGCCCATCCGGATCGACGAGGAGCGCGACGCGCACTCCACCTCCTCGGCAACTAATACGACAACCACAACCAACACCCTTAACAGCGAGAGTACGGCGCCCAACTCGCCGCAGATGCCACAGCGAGCCGATAAGCTGATTCGCTGCTCGCCCTACTATTCCAGCAGTTTGAGTTCCGAGTCGCCACCAAATCAACTGGTGCAGAAGCCACCGCGCAAGAGCTCAGCCGGACAGCTGGCAGCTGCTTCTACTTCTGCTGTGGCGGCCCATGCCATGAAGAGTCCGCCCAGCGGCAATGATACGGACAGTTCGCTGGATGTACGCGGCCAGGATGCTAAACACCAGCAGCTGCGCAGTCGTGGCTATCGCAAGAAGCGCCAGCTGCCTGTAAAGCGGATGCGCGCCAATTTGAACGCTGCGGCTTTGCTGGAGCAGGCGGAGAGCAGCGAATGCTCCGAGGGCTATATGCCAGAAATGGATTCGGGCAGCTCAGAGTACTCGTACCAGCGGGACGAACACTATCTGGAATTCGATGAGGAGCTGGAGCGTGAACAAACGGATGAATATGAGGATTATCCGCAGTATAGCGGCGCAAGCCCCAGCAAATTTGAGAGCCTGGACATGAGCGACAATGTGGATGAAATGGGTTTCCCACGCTACGATCGCTTGGGACATATTACCAAGCCCATGTATCAGTCGTTGGTGGACAGGCCGGCGCCAGCAAATCATCCCATGCCTCCGGCAACTGGACAGCCAGTGAAACCGGCGCGCACCAAGAAGCGACAGCTGAAACGTGAGGATTCCCTAGCGGCCAGCACTTCGACCGCTGGTCCACAGCAACCGTATCATGGACGCAGCTACTGCAATCCGGAGGAGAGCGAATACGAGTCCCGAGAGGATGTGGCCAACTCCAGTGAGGATAGCGGCGGTGCTGGCGCCATGGGCACCATAAGGCGTGGCAGCAGTCGAGCCATGGCGCCAGTAGAGCCGCCGAGACAACAGCAGCTGCCCTATCCGGACTTTCTCTCGGACTACGAAACGGAGCCCATAGAGTATGAGCGTTATGCGTGTGGCCTGGACATACGAGTTGATCCGCCACCCAAGTTCCATGACTCGGAAGATCAGAGCGATCATTAAGGGAAGTAATAGAGGAAAAAGAAGCAGCATTTTCCATTTCTTCAGTAGCCTTGGAAATTTTTAGAACAAATCTATGACAATTTGTACACACGATCCACGTATAACCAACTTATTTATAATTGAGACTGATTTACGACAAAAACAAAAACCAAAACAAAATACTAAAAAAATACCAAAAGCCAAGAAAAATATCGTACAATCCAAACAAAAAAAATTACAAGCTGCTTAAGAAAACCGAAAATACCGCGAAAGCCAAATGGAACATAAATAATATTCAAAATACATATAACCCCGACAAAGTTCGACGAATAAATCAAACTAACTAAAGTTTTAATCAAATATATATTACCTTAAAAAAAATACAAAATCTAAACAAGTTGGTCAGGGGATGCAAACGGTTAACATAGCTGGACTACCCTACATACATAGCGTATATATATATATATACATATATCGAATGTTATAGAACAGCTGCTCCAAAAATCAAAGTCAGAGTTGAGCAAATTTTAATGCACTGTTTAATCATCGAATAATACAAAAGAAACAAAAAAAAACTTACAAACAAATATTTAATTGTTATTTAGCTAAAAAAAAATGAAAAGAAAAATGAAAAAATGGTTGAAGCAAGCGTTTTACGATTAAAGTTAAACACGATACAATTATTTAATATTAATTGAGAAAAGTATTTGCATTACGATTAGTACTTGAGCAGTATTATTATTGTATTTCCCTATGCTATAAGTTCCAGTTACAGCGTCAAAGCTTCAATTTATATATGTATAAGTACGGTTAAATTATATACTTTTCCCGAGATCAGTATAAAAAGCAGTATTATATTAATGAGAAATAACTAGCATAATCTAAGATCTCTTTGATATTTACCTAATGTGCAAGCATTTATTTCATTCGATAAAGAAAAGGAGAATGTCTCGAAACTTTTTTATTCAATATATATGTATTTAATATATATATTTTATATAGTTTTTGTGCTATATACGTTTTTAATTTGATGGCAATTTCGAATTTGATATCCTCACAAAGAAAAAGTTGTATTAGATTTAGTTCTAGTACATAATTGTGCCAAAAAAAAAAAAACAAAAAAAAAAAACAACAGGAAAAATAACATTAAATTATTAAAAATTAAATAATATTCAGATGCCAAAACGAAGCGTATTATTATAGTTATAGTATGTAAAACGAACAAAAATCAAGCGAAACACTGTTAAGTTTTCGAAAATCCCAACATAGGAAAGAAGCAGAGTAAGAAAAAGGGTATTAAATTGTTAGAAGAGTTAAGGAGAAGTTAGGTTATGTTATGCGTACAATAATTTCAAATATTTATCGGATCAAAAATATTCAAATCAAAAAGTCAACCATTTTCTATATTGGCATTCAAAAATGTGTTTAGCTCTAGTCAAACATTTATTCAAATCGAAATATATCGAATTGTTTGTTGTATCTATGTGCTAGTTGAACTCTAAGATTAAATATTGAAGATAGTTTTTACCAGTTTTTTTTAGTTAGTTAGCCTAGGCAATGTTTTTTAAATGGATCAATCAGTTTTTTGTACAATGTGTTTACAATCCATTTTCTGTTAACCAATGAAGACTTGTGTCCGAACTTCCAACCTAAGAAAAGACTAGTCAATAATTTTTCCATCAAATATGATGATTCCTTCGAGTGCAAATGAATGTTTATTTAGAGTTAAAATATATTAAAATAGCAAAAAAAAAATACAATCTTAGCTGAAATTTAGCCAGTAAGAATTCTAAATGAAAAACTCGTTCCACACTCTAATAAAAAAAAATACACTCAAAAATACACCTAAAAACACACGCAAAAACACAGGCACACATTTGATTTTGACAATTTTTAAAAGCAATTAAACGAATGGAAAAAAATTAATAAAAAGAAATCTATACACGATGCAAGCGATTTAAACAAAATAAATTAATTATATAGAACGAAAACCAAAATAAAAACTTCATTAATCAAAACTTAAGTGTTTTATTGAATAAAAAAAATAATAATTAGAAAATTTATTCTTTATAGTAAAATGGTTTCTTATTAATTTTATATTTATTATAAATTTACGCTTTCCACCCATTTTCCGATCATATATTTTATAGATCTTGTAATTTAATTTTTTATAAATTTAATTATAAATTATTTTTACTTCAATTCATTTAATTTTTTAAATTAATTTTCTTTTGTATTTTCTCTTACTTTGGGCTTTCCAGATGTCTACCATGGCATCAATGGCAACATGTCGCTGGATAGACGCGGTGAGATAGCCACGCCTCCAAATCGTTACGATCTCACGCTGGGCTCGGACAAATCCTCATCGCTGTCACGCTCCGAAGCGGGAACCTATGACATCATCCAGGCTGAGATACAACATGCCAAGCGTCAGGAGCTGGCCACAGGCGTGGCTCTCGCGCACAATGGACACAATGGCAATGCCAATGGCAATGGCCTGCCCAACAGTTCCCATAGCCATGATATCGAGGCTGAGGTCAAGAAACGTAAATGGCCCACCGAACCAAGCTATTTCCTGGCCAAGGAGCTGCTCATGACGGAACGCACTTACAAAAAGGATCTGGATGTGCTGAACAGCTCGTTGCGACAGGTGCTCAGCCTGGAGGATGTGGAGCAACTGCAGCCGCTGTTCGAGCTGCTCGACTCGCTCGCCCAGCATCACAATCTCTTTCTGCGCGACATCGAGCATCGCATGGTCCTGTGGGAGGGGCGTGGCAATCATGAGACCCATCGCATCGGCGACGTCATGATGAAGCACATGGGTGCATTGCCCATTTACGACGAGTATGTGCAGACGCATCTGGACATCCTGCACTGCATGAACGACATGTACGAGTCGGACCAGCGCTTCCGGCAGCTATACAAGGAGTTTGAGCAGCAGAAGATCTGCTATCTGCCCATTGGTGAGCTGCTGCTGAAGCCGCTGAATCGCCTGCTACACTATCAGCTGCTGCTGGAACGACTCTGTGACTATTATGCCGACGAACATACCGATTATGCCGACTGCCAGGCGGTCTATCATCTGCTCATTCGGAGCACCAAACAGATACGCGCCCAGCTGCCGGACTCCGCCAATTTTGTGGAGCTGTGCGAGCTGCAGCGCGATATAAGCTTTGAGCAGCTGGTGCAGCCCCATCGCCGGCTCATCCGACAGGGCTGCCTGCTGAAGCATTCGAAGCGTGGCCTGCAGCAGCGCATGTTCTTCCTCTTCTCTGACATTTTGCTGTATGGCTCCAAATCGCCACTCGATCAAAGTTTCCGCATACTTGGCCACGTGCCGGTCCGTTCGCTGCTCACCGAAAATGCCGAGCACAATACATTTTCCATATTTGGAGGCCAGTGCGCGATTACGGTGAGTGCTGGCACTACAGCCGAGAAGACCCTCTGGCTGGCTGAGCTGTCCAAGGCGGCGGCCGATATCAAGAACAGGCCACCAAACATGCAGCTACAGCTGACCACGCTCAAGAATTGCAGTGAGTATCTCAAATGGTTTAACTTATGCTCTTGTCTCAGAATATGACTCTATTTGTCACTCGATTATTAGGATATTCCTGAAAATGAATGCCTGCTAGTAAAGGGTTTAAAAAGAGAATACCCTTGTCAAGAAGGCATCTTCGACACTATAAATATATTTATTCCTAGTTATTTTTTACATTCTTTACCTTTTCATTCTATTTGTCTATCTATTTTCACTTGCTTTACACTCATTATGACTGGCAAGAAAAGAACGCTGCAAAGCCTCGTAAGCAAGCAAGATCCCCATTAATACCCTGCCCCTGCCATTCCCGGCATAGGTTCAACTTTAAGTAATCTATTTGTTTATCTCTCTCAGGCTCCTCGGAGGAGGGTCTGGACATGCTCGGTCTGAGCAACGGCACAAACAGCCTGAACAGCAGCACCGGCGGCGGCAACGGTCCATTGACGCCGCAGCAGCTGCAGCTGCAGCAGCAGAACAAGACGCAACCGTCCCGCAGCAATACCGCACTACACGTCTGCTGGCATCGTGGCGCCACCGTTGGTCTCGGCGATCATCTCATTGCGGCAGAGCATCAGCTGTCCGGCTATCTGCTGCGTAAATTCAAGAACAGCTCCGGCTGGCAAAAGCTCTGGGTGGTCTTCACCTCGTTCTGCTTGTATTTCTATAAAAGCTATCAGGATGAGTTCGCGCTGGCCAGCCTCCCGTTGCTGGGCTATACGGTGGGTCCGCCCGGCCATCAGGATGCAGTGCAAAAGGAGTTTGTGTTTAAGTTATCCTTCAAGAATCACGTCTACTTCTTTAGAGCGGAAAGCGCGCACACCTACAACAGGTGAGGGTTTGCGAGTCTGAGCCAAAGGCAGTTTCTTTAATGCATTTAATTTTTCTCTTTTTTTCATTCTTTCCAGGTGGTTGGAAGTGCTGCGCAGCACCACCCAAACGCAGGACTTCAAGAACGTGCACAGTCATGCACCCAATTAGCTCACTTATAACCGACTATAAAATACCCTTTCTTAAGAATATATAATTCATAATTCATGTGCAATTCCATGGAACAGCCTAGTTGCTGTCGAGCTGAACCCACATAGAAATGCCCACTCTAGTATTCTCTATACACACACATATATATATGTATATATATATATATTTTTTTTTATAAACGACGTATACACCACAAAGCAATTCCCTTTTTTATATATACTCTTTACGCAACTCTACTCTATAATTGACTCTACACTTTATACACCGCGTATATTTACGTAACAAATTTTTTAGCTGCTAAGTTCACAATTTCCATGTAAATAACGTCTCTTATTTTACTTTTAAATGCATTTTGTTCTATGTGCTGGTCCCTATTTTATACTCTAAAAATATAAAAACGTTGTATTTTTGTGCGGTTTAATATTATATATTCAAGTATTTTTATAAACAGCTTGTGTGTCAAATTATGCAAATTATTAACAACAAATTGAAATTGCAATTTTTATAGTTTTATAACAAATTCAATAAATATATATAAATAAATGTTTGTTAATGTAATAAAATGTGGCCTTACGACCCTGCGTCGCCCTCTTTTTTATTGTACCTTACACAAAAAATTGTCAAAAAAGAGTATACAACATGCAATTATCTTGATATATTTAATAAAAATTAAGCTTAAGTCATTAAATTTAATAGACATTAACAAATTAATACAAATTTGAACAAACAAAAAATACACATAAATAAAATGCGGTTTTATTTCATGTTTTTGTCAAGAATATAGTTAATCGAAAGAATTGAAAGAAAATGTGGAAGACAAGGAGACTGGCTTACATTTAATAATATAGTTATATAATAATAAGTTAATTATCTTGGCTGCAGGTGCAGGAGGTTTTTGCATCTAACCAGCTTTCTGCTTTAAGGCTCGGTTCGTTAACCAGGGTTCCAATATCCAAGAACAGGTTTTGGCTGGTAATTTATCATCCTAATGTTATTGAAACCATTCAATTTGGGTTGCAGCCTTGATTAAAATTACGTCAGCTCTGGATCAAATCCAGAGTATATAACTTATAGAGTCTGAAAGGTGAGCCTTTTTCTTATAGTCATTCGGCAATCTTACTACAATCATATGTTATGCATCTTCGTAGATTTCCCTTGTTAAAGAAAATTTCCATTCA